TTGAATATCTTGTGGAGAGTGCTTGATGTGGGAAAGTGTTTGTGGAGGAGTTTAATGAATATTTTTGCTACGTTGTTTTTATGTTTTGTTGTACAGTGGGTTGAATCATATGATGTTTCTCTTCCTGCTGGCTTTTTTGTGCAGTGTGGTGTGTATGTTAGTGTTGCTGGGAATCTACTACCTTCTTCAATGACCCTGAAAAATTCCTCCCACTATTGACTCACCATGTTTGTGTTCTAGGCCTATTTTTAATTTTGACACAGCATCTTCACTTTTTATTATGATTTCTAATTTTTTTCTAAAGAAATAACTTTTTGAATTTTTGCGGGCAACTTCACTTTTATCTTCACTAAACATAAGCAAAAGACATAGTAAAGGTAAAAGTGAGTTTGCACAAAAAACTTGAAAAGTTAAAATACTAATGATTATGATATTTGGAAAATTTCCCAAAATAGAAAATATACATAACATAGTTGTATACTATTAGACTAGCTACTCAAGCCATGCATGTATCTTTGAACTAATTTTTTGATTTGCTTTTTAATTTATCATTTAGCATGCCCACTAAATCTAACATTTATAGCAATATTAAATAATGTTGGATTAAAAACAATCCATTAAAAAATTATATATGTTTCATTGAATAATATAGACATAATATATTTACTTATTTCTATACTTATCCTTACTGATTGTTACTGTTGTAGCATACCTATGGATGATAATGGGTATGTTCCCATTTACATAAATACAGTAGTAAATACTGTATGTTGGTCTGCAGTTGTAGATTCATTGTAGAATTCACTTGACTCACTTCTAGCAGTCAACTACTTCTACTCACTACTGGCGAATCTTATATGTGTTGTTCTTGTCCTAAGTATTATCGTTCTTTACCAACCTTTGTGTGATTATTCTATTCAGTAACCTTCCCTAGGTTACAACAGTTACCTTAAAAATACTGATTATTACTGATAATCACCTAAAAATAAGTAGACACAATATGTCTATATTATTCAATGAAACATGTTTGAATGAAGTTATGCTGCCTAAATATACATACACAGACACATACACACATATATATAATAATTCATTGAGTCTAGAACAAGAATCCTCAACAGAATGCAAAAGTGACAATACGATACAATCATCATACCACTAAGCCAGCTGGCCTCAGTGATGAAGAGGAAACTAACTAGACTCAATAAAGCACAGCTACTCCTAATTGCAAAGAAGACATTTATAAAAACAGTCATACATAAGAAATTATTGAGATTATCAAGCTAAACAAAGTTGTATTTATATTTGGATATTTGATTTCTATCATCTGGTGAGACTGTTAATGTAATCATATGTATTAAATAAAATATACTGGAAAATGGATAAATGAAAACATGGACACACACACACACACACACAAGCAGCTATAAAACTTTCAGCAGTGAGACGTTCTACATGGAAAAGATTTTTGTTTGTTTATGATTTGATTTTTGGCATTTTTTTCTTCTAATTGCAAAGAATATGTTTCTCTTGGGGCCATTTCTGGTGGGTTATGTATACTTGGATGAGTATCACCACTGACATTAGGAGTAGCTGTGCTATCTTCCATTGTACCATAATGGTCTGGGTTCGATTTTCAGTAGTGGATGCACACTGCTGATGAGTCCCCAAAAAAAGAACTAAACGACCATCCAGTGCTTTCTGCATTCTGTTGAGGATTCTTGTTCTAGACTTGATGAATTATTGTGTGAAATTATTCAAATCTCCAAAACAATTTCTATTACACACACACACACACACACACACACACATATATATATAATGTTAAATATAACAGACAATGAATGTTTATTATGTTTGATCATGAGCCATTCTAAACTCCCTGTATCCGCTTTAATTTGGGGAGAAAAGACAAAAACTGTCCAACATCTTGATATTTTTTTATTATGCTGTCCCTTAATCTAAGCTTCCAGCTCACATGAGCCATCTTCAGAGTGAATATATGGACATTTCAACAAACATATTCACTATCAAAGAAGATATTCTTTTATGTTGACATAGAAGATTCCTATGCAACAATAACGGGGAATAGCAGACACAGGTTGTACATTCATGATGCGGTTCTATGATGTCGTACCATGTGAGAGAATGAAATATTAACAACAGAACTATATGTCTAGGTACAATGTAATGTGTTTGAAATGTAATTTTGTTGAGTGTGGGTTGCTTTAAAACAAAGCATCCCACACTCAAATTTCAAACTAGTCAGAACACATTACACTGCATCTAGACACATAGTTCTGTTGTTAATACTTCATGAATTCATAACCAACATCTGCTATCCTGCAAGAATTAACATCACATAACAATCTTTTAATTTTATCTTTAGTCTCTCCCGAAATTAAAGCAAATATATTGAGTTTAGAACAGCTCAACTTCAAACATCATAGATATTTGTTGTCTATTATATTTAACAATATATGTTTGAATAATGTGTGTGTGTGTGTGTATATATATATATATATATATATATATATATATATATATATATATATATATATATACCCAAATATATAATTGTATATACAGAATGAATTCCAATAACCAACAATTACTATTCTTAAAAGAGTGCTCAATACAAAGTAGAGCAGATATAATTATTATTTATAAAAAAATTATAACATAAGTATGTTATAAAATCACTACAAAAATAGCCATTTTGTTTCAACACACTCTGTGTCTTATCAAGTGATGATGTTGAAAATAAAATAAATGGTTTTAAAAGTTTCAGATTAATTAATGATCCTACACTAGGGGGAAACATTGTTACAAAAGCCAGAATAACCAATCAAAAACGAAGTATAGAAAGATTCAAAAGCTTGACAACGAAATCATGTTATAATAGCTATTCAGATCTTTAAAATACGTGTAATATTAAAAATAATTTATACTAACCAATAATTATAAAATTATATGATAAAATTTAATATTAAAATTAAAAACTGGCAATTTTAAAATCCAAATTTAATCACTATTAAGTTTAAAAACTACAAAATTATTGAGAAAAGAAAAAATATATATGTTTATTCAATTGATTTACACCAAGTGTGTTGAAACAAAATGGCTATTTTTGTAGTGATTTTATAACATACTTATGTTATAATTTTTTTTATAAATAATAAATATATATATATATATATATATGTGTGTATGAAATGATATAGTAGCCAAAAGTGAAGTGATTTGAGCATGAATTAATTTGGTCAACTGTCAAGATGTTATGCAGTGTTTTCCATGTCCCATGGGATGTTTCATATATTTCACATAAATCACAAGATCACTCTACTATGAAGTAAAAAAAAAAAAATATATATTTTCTACCAGTTTTTTTTCTTTCTTTGACAAAGCTATTTTGTGTTTTACATTCTCAGAAGTTCTTGGCTGCATCTTATTAATTCAATTGTTAATCCAAAAACATATAAAAATTGAGCTGGCAACCTGAAAAAGTCAGTAGCAAAAATTTCATTCATGTCAAAAGGACTGACTTGTATTGCGGTAACTTCAAAAAGAAACCAGCTGACTGATTCTCACAAAACTACCAGCAACAGATGCAGAGGCACCAGCCACAAATTGACTGCCTACCTTCTTCTTTTTATAAACAGATGTAAATGAACAAACCCCATCTTTTTTATCAGAATCTACTCTCTCTCTCTTTCATGCATATACATACAGAAACCTTTTGAATGACCTAAAACTGAGGTTAAAACTTGGAAAGCTAAACAACATTTCTCAAAGACCCTTTTATACCTTTTTGTAAATATCTATTTGTGTAAGGTCTTCTTTGTTTGATTGTTGGTACTTAAAAGTTTGTCATTATTCTTCACCATATATACAACGTCTTTTTCTTATTTATTCTTGGTATTTTTATAAAGCAAAAACTTTGTTCCAAATTTTTTTAGTGGACTCATGGTTAATAGAACATTTGTCATCATCATAAATGTCAGATTGACTCATAAGTAATTTCTATTTTGGGGAACCAATTGTAATGACAATACTATCGTCCTAAATTGTAATCATCCATGGCAGTTAATAGAACTGGTACATGTGACAATGTTCAGCATAAAAGTCAGTGGACTGACAAGGAAAAATCTACACAACAAAAGTGTAATATTGTGTGTGGTGCGATGGTCATTTAGAGTTTTTTAAATGCAATGGAGCACTAAATGCAAATTTATATATCCAGCAGCTGCAATGTGTCCATAACTGTTGCATGAGTGGTGTGATGGTCTGGCTCTTATTCATTTAGAGTTTTTAAAATGCAATTGAGCACTAAATGCAAATTTATATGTCCAGTAGCTGCAATGAGTCCATAACTGTTGCATGAGTGGTGTGATGGTCTGGCTGTTATTCATTTAGAGTTTTTAAAATGCAATTGAGCACTAAATGCAAATTTTTATGTCCAGCAGCTGCAATGTGTCCATAACTGTTGCATGAGTGGTGTGATGGTCTGGCTGTTATTCATTTAGAGTTTTTAAAATGCAATTGAGCACTAAATGCAAATTTATATGTCCAGCAGCTGCAATGAGTCCATAAATGATTGGTTGAAAAACACCCTGTGTTCATCAATAGGAAATATATTTTCCTTTATGACAACTTAAGGCTGCACGCAACAAGAATAACACAGAAAGCAATTTTGGAACTCAGTCTCTACCCTGCTCCCATTATATTCAACTGACGTTGCACCAACTGGTTATTACTTTTTTCGATCGCTGCAAAATACTTTGATGGGAAAAATTTCTCTAAATGAAAACCATATTCAAGAGTCTGTCAAAAATTTTTCAGATCAAAATCTCTGGAATTTTACTCAAAAATTATTGAAGAGGTGCCTGATAAATAGCAACAAGTCATTGCAAAGAATGGTGAAAATATAACCGAATAAAATGGATTTGTATTTAATGAAGTTTATAAACGATAAATGGAAATTATTTATAACTAGCTAATGGCCACATCACATTGAAACATCAATTCTCATATGATCACCAAAGTTAAGCAATGTTAAGCTTGGTCAGTACCTAGATGGGTGACTGCTTGAGAATACCAGGTGCTGTAAGCTTGGATGTGTGGGTGGTGTAATGGATGATATCTCAGAATTGAAGATCAAAGAGCTGAGTTCCAATTCTAGTTGGGTTTGTTATATTCAATTACTTGCAAATACCCTTGGGAAAGTTATGAATCTACCTCTTCTCCCTCCAATAATGGGTTAATTAGAAAAATTTGTATGACTAAATTATCATTATTTCAAAATAAGATTCTGACAATCTAAAAAATATTTTCTGGCTTTAAATAACCTGCAATTGGTTGATAAGCTGTAGAAAACTAGTCAATCAAGTCATATTTATAACTCTAATATTAATCATCTAGAGGCCATTTATATTTCTGGTGTATGTTTATTTCAGAGAGAGACGAAACTTATGAAGCAAAAAGAACTAAGTCAAACTTAATCAGAAGATTAAAAAAAAAATAAAAGAAGCAACATATAATTATGAAGCATTAAAAAAATGATGGACTCTCAGTTTTGAAACAGAAACAGAAAGAAATATAAGGAAGACAAGAAATGCTCAGCTTAAACGTAATTAGCCAGTGAAAATATATTATTAGATATTTCAATTGTATCCAATAAAATTCATTGGATTATTTATATATGGATTAGCACTTCTCTGGATCAAAGTATCTGTTCACTTTAATTAAGCTCAATGAATTGTTCCTTGGCAGTAAACCAAGGATCAGAGTGTAGTAATTGTGTTCACTATAAGAATTGTTACAACTCGCTTGAGGATGAAATGGAACTAATGTTTTTAATTTAATTACAAAATTAAATTTAAAGTTTTTAGCTTCCATTTTTGAAACATGGTTATTACTGTGTAGCAAAAAAAACATTTTAAATCAGTTAATTTATAATATTAATGCTCTGTAAATTTACATTGAGCACTATTTTGTAAAAAATAAAATATCAATAAGAATACCTGATTACATATCTTACTGTTCTTTTCTTTTTTATTTAAATATATATATATATATATATATATATATATATATATATATATATATATATATATATATAATAAGAGAGAGAGAAAGATATAGGAAGAAACACTGCATGCTGACTGGAAGTTACATACCTCATTGTGATCTTCCGAAAAAGTGCCTCCATTATAAAAATAGCAAATGTTAATACACACACACACACACACATATATATATATATATATTTTTTTTTTTTTTTAATCAGTGTCACCCCAAGTAAGACAGTACAGTCACTAACACACAAGGGGCTACAGGATGTGAAGGAATTAGGAACAGAAACATTAGTAATGTTTAGAAAGAAGAAAGAGCATTCAGGAGGACAGTAGATAGAGATTGGCATTGCATTTAAATTCTTGCAGATTAATGTTGGCTGGAAAGCATGGAGGTGGAAAGGAGTTCACAAGTGAAAGGTGCAAGAAAAGAAACTGTTACAGAAGTTATAGCTACATCTAGCTACCTCAACTGTAAATTGATGCAATCTCACCAGCAGCATAGTATTGCACTTAAATTCATACAGTCAAGGTACCATAGCAAAGAGCTCATTGGAACAGTTGCCATGAAAGTATTTATGAAAAAGGCACAGAGAGGCACCCATATGGTGATGGGCAAGTGACTGATGCTGAACCACCAGATCAGGACTAATATTGCCAATTCTTCTTTGGATCTTACCATAGAGCTCCAGGTAAATCACAGGGGCACCAGACCATATATGGCAGCAATACTCTAAGCATAAGTCTAATAGTAGACTTATAGATATGCAAGATAGATTCTGAAGAGAAGAATTGTCTCACCTGACACAGTGAATCAACTTTCTTAGCAGCTGACCTAGCAATGGATTTGATATAGTCTTTCCCTTTCATGTCAGCTGAGAATGTTAACCTGAGAAGGCGCAATGATTCAATTTCCTGGAAGATAGCATCAGCCATGCTGATGGAAAGCAGAAAGGGGTCTCTCAGATGATTAAAAGAGAGAAATTTATTTTTTGAGGTTAAGATTGACAAGCCATCTTTTGCCCCAGTCTTGAAGTCATTTTGTACATCAGCTGCCATTTTGATTGGACTGATCAGCCTTACTATCAAGGCAGGAGTAAATGAGAGTGTTGTGAGCATAGATGCCAATTTGAGAGCTGATATCATCAGGAAGGTCGTTAATGAAGATTAAAATCAACGTAAGACCAAGAATGGAGCCTTGGGGGACACTGGTGTTAGTACCAAAGGATGTAGACGAATGGCTGTTCAGGACAACTTTCATTTCATGGTTTGATAGGAAAGACTGGATCAGATCAAAAATGTGCCTGGTGATACCGTAACTTTTCAGCTTGTGTAGAAGACCTGAATTCCAGATCCTACCAAAGGCTTTTGAGATGTCCAAAACTACAGCGCAGGCTTCACTGTTTTTATCTAGAGCACAATAGACTCTTTACGCAATTATCATTAGTACATCAGCAGTTGAGTTGGGGAAACAAAAACTGTATTGCTTGTCTGAGAAAAGACTCTGTGATGAGAGATGTTGAATCAATTCAGCATTGATTAGAGCCTCTAGGGGTTTCCCAAAAAGGGGTAGAAGGCTAATAGATGAGTCAGATGGTTCACCAGAGTTCTTAAAAACTGGAACAACAGATGATAACTTCCAGCAGGCAGGAAAGCAGGAGGCAGCAAGGTATTTATTATACAGTTTAGAGAGAACAGGAGCCAGTTTGGGAGGAACACACTCCTTAATGACTATTACAGGGGTACCAAGTCCACATGCTTTGTGGAGATCAAGGTTAGAGATGATAGAAGAAACTATGGAAGGGGTTATATACATATCACTCAGCAGAGAATCAGTTCTAAGTGAGAAGTTAGACAGGGATATTCCAGATGAGTGGTGTAGAGTTTGAGGATAATTTACATGCAAAACATTCAGCTTTATTAGCAGAGGAAGATAATGCCTCAAATTGATTGAAGAGTGGAGAAATAGAGACCTTGCAATTATCTAGTACCCTATTACAGAGATGCCAGTAATCATGAGAGCCAAAGTTTTAGAGGCTATGCATTGCATCATTTTCTCATCAAACTGGGGCTTTGTCCCTTTGAGGACTCATTTATATTTGTTATGAGCAGTAGCAAATAGGCACCTGTTATGATAAGAGCTGTGACACTGGTATAGTCGGAAATAGTGGTTCCAATGTGCTATGGGAGCTGAGCATGCTGGTGTGAGCCATGGAGAGGATTACAGTTTACAGTTTCACCTGGTATTTCTGAGAAGGAATGAAAGTGTCCATGCTGGCTTTGACCCAGGATAAAACCTCATTGGTATAATTTTCAATTGGGAGCTTGAAGATGTCAGTCCAAGGAGTATCATGAAGAAAAACCAGGAATAAGTCCCAGTCAGTGTGCTGGTAATGGAAATAGGTCTTATGGATAGGGGGTTCCTGTTTAATGGATAATTGGAAGGAGATATCAATAGCTACCACAGAGTGGTCCGAGTTACCAAAAGGGCAGTATTGTGAAGCTCATCAAGAGGAAGGAGAAGAGGTAAGAATTAGATCCAGTAGAGAAGCCTGTGGTTTAGTTTGGCTAAGGAAACGAGTATGGAAGTCCACGATTTGAGAAAATTTAATGTCTGTATACCAGCAACATCAGTACCTTTGGAATGTTTCAGCCATATGTTGTGGTAAGCATTAAAGTCACCAAAGACAAAGATGTTCACAGATGAATGAGAAAGTGCCTTTTCTATACTGTCAGCTATTGTGTCTAATATACTGCAGTCTTGTGTGATAAAGGAAAAAGAGATAGCTGACCAAGTTTAGTAACGAAAGACGGAAGCACATGAAAGATACAGTTCTCTGGCTATCAGAAGATTATTCTGGATGTAAGCACCAATCCAAGCATGTGAATACTAGAATCTTTTTGGCAAAGGGGAAGATACACTGGAACTAAGAATTCATTGGTATCAATGGAAGAATTTAAGTTGCTTTCACAAAGGGCAAAGATATTTGGTGACCGTTCCAGGAGAAAGGATTCTATGCTGCAGAAATTGGAATGGGCACCATGAATGTTGAAGAAGGAAAGATTGAAGGGGGTAGGTGGCTTATTGTTAGCTGGTTTAGTTTTATTGTTTTTTTTGTTGTGATTTCCATGAGATATATTTTGGGGAGAGAGGAAAAAGACCATCATAACTGTCACTATCTGTCATTGATGGAAATACGGACCAGCCAGTGGGTAGCTGAGAGCAGAGCATAATGTGGCCTCATGTTTGCCTACTGGAAATACATGCAGAGACATCTGCCCATGTGTGAAATGGCACTACAGATACCCTGATATTATGCTACTGTTGATCAAAGCAGCCTCTCTAAGCGCTACCAATGAGTTTGGGCTTTTAACAACCAGTTGGAAGCAGCAGCCAGCAAACTGCCAACCTGCAATCTTGTTTGGTTGAATAATCTAGACATATGCCTGTTTATTTTAATCCTCTCAAATTCACAGATCAATTTCTTAGTGCTGTTACAAAACTGAGTAAGAAAGGCACTGCAGTTTTGGCTGTTTCTTTTATTTTCCCATGTACTTTCAATCTCATCCAAGATCATCTTCAGGGGTGAATTGCTAAGACAAAAATTAATGCAATTGATAGTTGTGAATTTTTTTTGCAAATGCACATGAAACGAGCTGCATTATAGTCAACTCATGTTAAGGGAAGTAACAGGTTAATTTTTTTATTATTAATGTTTAAAATTACTCAATTTGCAATTTCTTTTTAAAATTAAAAAAGCCCCCAAAAAATCAAATTCTTGAAGCGCTCTATATAAAAAAATGCAACCAACATTAAATAAAATTAGTTATGAGTATAGCAACAATGTTTTAAAAAAAAATCTATAAAAGCAATGTTTTGGGATGCTCAAATTGTAAAAAAACTTTTTTAATTTTTAACAAAACATTTTCATCTAAAATGTTTATTTTCTTTTTGAAAGACTAAAAAAGTATGTCATATTGACAGATTTTTGCTTATTGTAAATATTAAATTTAATCTATTGGAATTAAAATAAAAG